GCGGGGCCCTTGGCGTCGCAGAGGAAGGGACGTCAGCGGCCGGAGGCGGTGCCCGCCAGATTCAAGCGGGCGGCGCGGGCGCAGCCGTTAGCGCTCGCGGGCCGCCATGGAGATGCTGACGTTCCCCCGCTACAGCCCCGCCGACATCATCACCTACCTGCGCTGCCATGTGCTGTCCGGCTCCGAGGCGCGTAACCTCACCAAGAGCGATCTCTTCCCCAATCCTAAGGTACGTGTGGGGGCGTTTCTCAGCCGTTTTTTTTGTTGCTGGTTTTTTCCTTTTTAATAGTGTGATAAAGTACCTTACTCTGTACTGGGGTTACTGTGTCTGTGTCTTGTGGTAGTTTTCGGTATCCCTTGCTTTGTAAGCTATTGTGTGTGGAGGAAAAGAATGAAATACAGGACACAGATGCATTTGCCTGAGGTGATAGCTGCCTTTTATGATACAATAATATAACAGGAGAGTATTACTGGTACCCCTGATTGTAGGAAGCAACCCTTTTCTCTTTTCTTAACTCAGTGGGTTAAAGGCTGAACTACTTTCATGGTATTGTTTGGGTGTCTTGAATAATGCAGGTGAGCTGTTGATGTGTGTTGTTTTTGCAGCCTGAAGTCTTGCACATGCTTTTCATGAGAATCCTGCAGAAGGTATACGGGGTCCGCCTGGAGCATTTCTACATGGTATGTGGGTAATAGCAGCTATAAAGAAATATGCGAGGCAAATAACAAATAAAGACTTTCTCCCTTCCTGCCTTATCCTGGCCTCTTCCTTTTGCCCTAGTAGAAGCTCCCTAGATGGAGTCTCACTAACTTGTGTTTCCCAGAGGTGTGGAGACTGTTACCTGTGTTATTTACCCTGTCTGAATGACCTTACCTTGTGAGAAGAAACCCATGTATTTTCCTATAGTTATGGTGTGCCTGTGTATTCACTCTGCTCTCCTTCCTGTTTAGATGCCAGTCAACGTTGATATAATGTACCCACAAATATTTGAAGGCTTTCTACCTGTTTGTAACTTGTATATTCACATGTAAGTAAAAGAGTTTGTATCTTTTAAGTTGTATTCCTTCCAAAGTCCCAGTTTAGAGGTAGTGGGGCTTTTAAACACCTTTGAATGGTTCCACTGCTCTCCAGTTTTGAGCATAAAAAAAAAAAAAAACTGCAGATGAGCAATGAGAAGCAATAATTAAGTTATTGGCAGTTGTCTTTTATCTAAATAAATGTCTTGGCTTTACTGTGATGACTGGAAGGCTTCGTGTGTGTGTGTGTGTGTGTGTTGTGGGGGAGCAAATTGGAGCACATTGCTGAATGCCCAGGACTTCATCATACCAAAAAAGGAATCTTAAGTATGTGTTATGTAAACTTGCTGTTTGAATTATAGATACCATTGTCATGATGATACGAGCATTAGGCTTTAAACCTTTTTTCAGGTATAAGGAGAGAAGGGACTCAGCTAAGCACAGGATTTTGTTAAAGCTGAACTAAGTTGAAATCTTCTTCTGTAAAAGCTTATTTTGCTTACCTCTGAAATACTGTAAGAATATGGAGTTTTTAACATGAATTTGTACATGGAGTCTGACTGTGTGGTGTGCTTACTGTACTTGGCCTTTGTGATAAGAGGCCAATATCCATTTCTAGTGAACATGTATAGTGTAAAGACTCTGTAATGGTCACTGCAGAAAAGTCTGTACTTCGTTTCCTTGCAGGGAGCGCTTTCTTCCAGTGTGCTGTATTAATGACTTTCAAATTGCTGATGTTATAAACCCAAGTAAGCAAGTGCTTGTGATCTTTCAAGTTCTGTTGGGGTGAGTGTGGTGAGGGCTGGGGTGGTGTCACTTGATATCCAGGCTGCTTTCTTTCCCACTTGACTTAGATGGATGCATAGTATTCAGAACTGTCCCTGGCTACCAGCTACTATTTTGATCTTTGTTGTGGTCTTTAGACAAGCCAGTTCAAATCAGTATAAGGACTTATTCCTTATGTTATTTGTGTGGGGTGTTTTGAGTGTTACAAGTCTATGCTACTCCTAGCCTGGGGATCAAGCTGTGACACTCTTAAAATGGAGTAAAAATAAGTGGCATTGAAAATTATCCTCGAGTTCTCTATGGTATTTTCTGAGGTATTTCTTGTGCAAATACCTCTATAGGAAACAGTTGCATTCTCAGATTTGCTTCTCTGCCTTTCTAGTTCCTAGTTGTGGTGGTTCCAGTATTTTTAAAAAAAAAAAAAAAAAAAAAAGGCAAGGCTTTTTTTTGAAGAACTCTTGCACTTCTGGGTCTGTCTTGTCTAAGACATTTGGGACCTCTCTAGTAATCTTCCTCGGAGTTTGATTGGGCAATCCCCATAGTTTGTGCAACTAGGTTCAATTAGCCTGGTTGAAGGCAGAAAACTACTGTAACTGAGTGTTATTGGAGATTGCTCTTCCTCCCTCTTTATTTAAATCAATGCCCATATTAAGTTTTCTCCCTACATGCCCATTTCTATTTGTTGAATGGTACAGAATCATTAAGGCACTCTCAGTTCATACCTTGGTGGTTGTTTTTATGTAATTTGTGGAAGTTTTCCATGTTACTGATAGGGTGTTAAAGGAAGACAAACTCTGTTTTTGTAATTTTTCTCCCTTTGAAATAATTGCCCAACTTGTTCTAAGCAATTGCAATGCATGTGGAGACTAAAATAGTGATGATTTGCGATTCCAATTTCAGAAGCAAAGAGGACAAGTCGTTTCTTCAGTGGCATTCTCAACTTCATACATTTCAGAGAATCACGACGTGGAATCTATCTGGAGTTACAGTCAAACTATGTAAGAAGAGGTGCCGTGTTACACCTAATACTTGTTTAAACAAAATTAATATTAACCTTCGTCTGCAAATATAGAGGTTGTGTTTTTTTCCCACCTTTTCACTTCTAAAACTGTATGTTTTAAAAACATGTTGGAGTCTCCGTTGTAACCAGGTAATATGTAAAGGTGCCAGTTTAATATAGGTAAATCTTAAAAGGTTATGGACAAACACAGCTACTGTAAAAGCTTTAAGGAAGACCTTCTGAAATACCCTTAAGAAGCATATTAGTTTAGAACTTTCTTTTAATTCTGGACTATTTCATCTCTGCCAGAAAGAAATGTGTGTCTCTGAAGAGTATCTGGGCTTCGTGATGTAAAGATTTCTGTATGGCACAATAGCCAAGTTATTACTTAAATGGTATAATCTGAGTGTTTTTTTTTCCCAGTTATTTATTTGATGATTGAACCTTGGAAATAGACATTTGAACACAATCATTTTGAGAAATGGCAAATGTCAGAGTCATCTGACTGAATCTAGAACTACCAGCAGTTACTTTTTGAGTGTATCTAGAGTGAAATATGTGGTTTGCAGAGCTTTGAGAGAACTCAAAATATAAACCATGTTTCCCTAAGATAAAGCTATCTCTGAGCAATTAACTTTCAGAAATCGGCTATGGAGAAACTACAACAACTAGAGACAGCAAATCAAGAGGCAGCAGTGAAGCTGGAGAAGCTGAAGTGAGTATGAGCACCAACTGCCTTGGCTAGCTGTCCTGCACATATGTGGGGTCTCTAACTGGGAAGTGGATAGATGAGCGGTGTGGTGATAACCACAGACTCCTCTGAACTTCATCTAGGTGTTGGACAGCCCAACCAGTGCCCAGACTTTCCCTCCTCATCTGTTGCAGATATAAAATGAAAGTTCCTCATGGACTAGAAAAGTACTTGCTTTCAGTAATATGTGTGAGTTTGTGAGTGTGACTAGTTTGCTGTGAAGGGCAGGCTTTAATTCTTTAGAGGCAGTAAATTTGGTTAACAACCATGAAATATACAGTGCTTTTGCTGAAGTTTTCTGTCACATTATCTAGCCTCTCTTCCTCACTTCACAACATGTCCTCACCATATGCACCCACATGCTTTGTAACTTCTCAAAATGGAGTAATATTTTTTGTTCTTAAGGCTTTTCTTCAAAGTCTGTTTAGAAGTCTTTAGTTTGTGCAGACTCAACTTTTCCTATGACACTTGACTGACTTTTCTGTTTAGCCTTCTTTAGAAACAAGCCAGGAAGTATAAAGCTGTTCCTGTTAACTGAATAGGTTCTTCTGGTTTTAGGTTAGAGAAGCTGTTGTCAGGGGAAAAAAAAAAAAAAACTAAAATACTTCAGGAGTGATGGTTGCTTTGAGAGGATGTTGTATTTGGTATCTTGGAGACTGTGGTTGAGCTTCCTTGGTTGATTATTTTAGTGATCTCTCTCAATTTAGAGAGGCAAACTTATCTCAGTTTTGGGCATATTTTTTACCCCTCAGATTCAGTCTATTTAGTGATGCTGTCCATATCTTTGTGCTAACAAGTTTTGTTTTGCTCATAGATGATTGGTTGAAGAGATGGTTGCTTTTCTAGATTGCTTCCCGAACAAAAGGAGTTTGTTTCTTAGCTTTTCTTGGTATATGCTAGACAGCAGGCTTTCCAGCTAGCTATATGGTCTACCCTAATAGAAAATTTATATGGCAAATACCATTAGACAAAGTTTGTATATCCAAGTCACTGTGTAAGTTGGTAAAAGTGTTGTTCCTTTGTGCTTGGCTTTATTTGACATTATCTTTTAAATCAATAATTCTCACTCTTATTTTCCTACCTCTTCTGTATAAAGTAGCTCCTTAAGTTAGGCATAAAATCTTCTGAACCAAGTAATACTGATTATTAATTAGAGACTATCTTTCTTTGATAATCTAAGCTGTTGACAATTAATTCTTTTTAGAGTGACTATTTTATTCTCCATACTCCATCAACCTCACTATAATATTGCAACTGTCCAATATAGATTTTAATTTTATCTATTTATTCTGCCCAGCACTGTTCCAGTAGAACAGCAAGCAGAGTTCAAGCAGTTGTCTGATGACATTCAGGAGTTGCAGCAACTGCTGAACAACGACTATCGACGGAAAGCGGTAAGATCTCATTTCCTATTTTTCTGGAACACTACCATAGCTTCTGATCATGGCTGTTCATTATTTTTTCTCTTTTTTCTGTCTCCCCCTAATTCTATAAAAAAATAGGTTTTTTTTGTTTGTTTTAAAACAAAAATCATTGTGACAGAACATTCTTCTAAGTCCTTACCATTAACTCTTTGCTTATCTGTAAGGAATGTGAAATGTGGAATCAGACTTAGGGTATTTCACACTTTCTTTGTGATGATTTGATAGATACCTGTTTTAAAAAATGTGTGTTTCTCAGTTAAACTAGTTTTGTCTTGCAATAGAATTTGAAGGATTAAATTGGAACTGAGGGTGAGCTATGTTAGGAAGTAAACCGAAGCCTAAGAAGGGTTACACAAGGGAATATCCTAGACAAAGAGCAAAGGTAGTGTTGGTAGGGAGAAGTGATACTTCTGCTACTTTAAGCTGTCTCCGCTGTTATTATTAATCATGTTTTACCTACTTATTACTGGGGGCCTTGTGTATTAATGTATGTCTTTCTAAAGTAAAAACAATGCCTCTGGCATAGGGTTGTGCGTGTATGTAACAAACCGCCAGGGCTCATGTAAGCAGAGGAAGGGAAATGGCGCCAATGTTTGCTGCTTGGGATGGAGCTGCAATGTGAAGCATGTCTCATGAAAGCATGCTGAGAAGGTTTGGTTGTGGCAGTGCAGAGAAGGGAGCTGCTAGGAGTATGTAGTACACAGGCTTTTGGGGAATGGGCTCTGTGCTTGTTTTCTGCTCTATCTGCCCACCTCATTAGAGGGAGCTTTAATAAATTGGTGCCATCTCTTATCTCTGTTCAAAGTTACCTACTGTTGCCTGCATTCCTAATGCTCCCAGTGGCTTTTCAACAATGCTTTGCTTCTCTGTATTTTGGCTTTATATGGACTGCTATTGTGTTTGCTAGTTTGTGAAACTCCAAAGAAATCCTCACTGAGCTTTGAATAGCAATGAAGTGTGCTGCATAACTCGTGGACAGCATTGGTTAGGCTAGGTTAGTGTGATGTAGTGCTTTCCCTGAAACAGCCCTAAACTATATTAGGGCAGTCATCCCTTCTGTACGCAGAAATCTAGCAGAAAAGGAATGACTAATTAGAGATTCCTATTTTAAGTTCATCGTTTCTTTTCTTGTGTGCTGTGTGTTGTTGTTTTTTTTGCTAGACAGCTTTGCAAGAAGTGATCTCACAGAAAAAGTCAGATATTGCAGAGAGGGCCCGAAAACTGGTAAGTGTACCTTCATATGGGCTGTACCTTAAATTCCAGTGCAGCTAATTGATTAGCTCTCTCTTTTTAAGGTTATTCTCAGTGCTAGGTAATGTAATGGGTCTGGAGGTGTGTTTTTAGCTTTTTTAAAAACTGCTTCAGGTTGGCTTTTCACATGGAAGCTTCATTTACTGAATTGATAAATGCATGTCTGCAGCTTAAAGTTCTGTGTTTATTCAGGAGGCTGATCTGTTAATGGGCAATAAATCTAAGATGCCAGGAAGCTACAGACTTGCCTTACATACTTGGAGTGACTAAGAGGTGTACACTGACCAGATGGTGAGAAGGTGTGAGTTTGGGAAAGTGCAGAGGAAGTGTGCGCCTCTTCTACTGAGATAATGCACTTGGCTTTGAAACTCCGCTGTGATTTTCTGATTTGCCCTAAGAGTGGTCCCAAAGGAGGGAGCTGCCAGTCATATGTACTAGCTTGGCAGGCTTTTAGAGGAATGTTAGCTACATACTGTTCTTGCAACTTAGTGTTGCACCATTGTAAGTCTGTTCAGGAAGAAAAAATAGAGACTAATTGTTTTGCTTGTAAATGTTGACAGTATTTAGAGTCATTTTTGTTTCTGGAGTTAGTTTCCTATTGAAGGAATAAAACACCACATACAGAATACTGTCTAGTCATAAGTTCTGACAAACTGTGTCTCATAACTCTTAGTTTACTAACAGCAAAGGCACTTGTTTTCACTAGAATGAACTCAAAGTGATAATAGCTGCTTTGAAAGAAGAACAAGAGCAGCTGAAATCAAAAATTGTAGAGAGTCCGGAGGAAGTGAAAAACTACAAAGAGACAATGAAAGAAAGTGTTAAGAAACTGAAGAAATTCAAGGTGAGTTGTTTTTTTTCCTGCACAAGAAGGCTTTGCATCAGAGAATGGTTTATTCTTTTTTCTAGACAAAAATTAGCAGTAGATTAGGTTGGAATTAAATTCTTCATCATAGCTTCAGAGAAAGTTGAAGTTTATTTCTGTAAGAAAGATCATTGGTATGTCACCATGCGTGTGGAGAGATTTTTTTTTTTTTTTTTTTTCCCTCTGGCAGAAAAACAGCCTTGCAATCGCTTGTCCTTTTTTCTCTAATGAATTAGAGTTATTTTCAAAACTAGAAGTAGAACTCTAATGCTTTCTAGCTGCCTGCTCTCAAGAGGTGACATTATATTGGCTGCTCATAAATATTCTGAACTCTAGAACAGATGCTTCATTGGATCTATGTGCTCATTTGTTATTTCTGCAATTTATGCCCATCTCTACTAGTCTGCTGAATATCTTCTTGAATTCTTTTTAACTAGTTGCGCTTTTTTCATAGCGATGTCCAGTCTTTAAATGTTTGTTCAAGGTTGCTCATATGTCAGTGAAACTTGCTGAACTTTCTACTCCCAGGTGTTTTTGTTTTAAGAGATAGAACTTTTATTGCTGTAATTCTAGACACCTGTTCTGGTATCATAACTACTGTTTTATCAGTACGGTATTTTTCCACTCTGAGTTTTTACTCTTTCCTTATTTTTTGTAACAATTTTAGTTTGGTATAAAATATCCTCATTTTTTGACCTTCCATGATAAATGCTTTTATCTATAAACTGAAAACCTGATTTAAGCAGCAACTGTGTTCAATTCCCATGTGGTGCAATGACAACGAAGGAATGGGTATAAAACTCAATATACATTAATACCAGTACAAAATAACCTCAACTCTCATGCTGTTTCTGTTAAGCTTTTGTGTGTTTGTTTTGTCTTTTTGTTTTTATTTAGCAAGAGGTTATAGAGAATTATGAAACTTACCGTGACCTTGTTGAGATTCTTCCATCCTGTCAACTGGAGGTGCAGTTGTACCAAAAGAAAATGGAAAGACAGGTAGCAAATATGGAGAGACTGGCCAGTGTAGCAGCAGAGGTTTGTATTGCAATAACTTTATCGACTTAAGGGGAGTTCAATATCAAAGCAAGATAGGTGTTCATCAGTAAGTAAGGATGTTATTCTGAAAGTTCCTCTCACCTCCACTCCAGAAAACTCTGATAACTTCAGAATCTCAGTTTAAGAAGTATTAGTAGAAGCAATGTGCAGCAAAGCACCAACTATAACTAATGTACTGCTGACTATCTCAAATACTCAATGTCTAAGAGCACAAACAACTATTTCAAGGACTGTCATGTCTTAAATGTGTCTAATTTTACTGATATTGCCAAGCCAGCCTTTCACTGGTGAGGTCTTTGTCACAATACCGTACCTTGCTAATTACTTTTTAGTCTTGGTGAAAATGCAATTATTAAGATTTGAAAACTGATATGTAGTCTTTCTGGATATTTGTACAGCACACGTGCAATTATTCTTGACTAAGAACTATAGCAGAATTTAGTAGCTTCTATAAGTTATACAAATTGATATGATCTTAACCTTTCAGGCTAAAGATTGGATTTGGGTTTTATACGAAGACTTAAATTAACAATCCGGATTCTTTAAAAAGTAGGATGCCAGTTCAAATCTTGGTGTTCCCTGTTAGAAATTCACCGCTTTAATCTTGTTCTCCACTTTTATTTTTCCAATGCTTTTTGCATATTCTAGGTCAGAAATCTAGAAGATCAGTTGGAAAGTGCTCAGATAGAGCTGAAAAAAGGAAAAACGGATGAAATGTCCTTAAAGAGATTGGTTACTGCAAAGCAGGAGAAGCTGTCTGCAACAGAAATAAGGACAAAAAAGAAGCGTGAAGATGTTGAGCAATTTAAGCACACTATGTTTGAGTATGGATGAGTTGACATTTCTGCCTGATGCTACTTTCCATCTTGTTACGTGCTACTAAAGTTCCTGTCTGGTACAAACACATGGCTTAGCAATAAGAAGAAAGAGTGATATGGGATAGCTCTGTATGAAGACCAGAAATGCTGTAGGCAGGGACTTGGGGTCTCAAATCAATAATTGCAATGTGACTTGACAGCTATTCTTCTATTGGATGACTAATTTAATTTATAATGCTTATTCTTGATTCTTTTATCTTCTTAAAGAGAATGTCACATTGGGATAATTTTCCAACTTATCAGACTTCAACAAAGCCCCATTTGCCTCTCATGAATTTTTCATAATTTCCCTTGCCACTTTTGCTCATTATCAAAGATGTTCAAGACCTATGGGGAAATGGGGCTTGTATCTCAGAGGAGTATTATCCTGACATGATGCTTCTAAAACAAAAGAAAAAGTGTCATTTGATCAAAGCCTTTCAGCCCATCTTCCTTCCTGCTTTATGCTAAAGGCAAGTTGTGAGGCAATATTTACAGCACAGAAGTGACTGCAGTAGTAAACTGCAGTATTGTCAGCGTAAGGTCATGGTGTCACTGTGAGGTTAGAAGTTTTGAAATGTAATGGAGAAAGTTTATTAAACAACAGTTTTCATATACTGGAAAATACAAAGGAAGTATAGAAAACTATTGCTTGAATAGGCAAAGCATAATGGAGGAAAGCTTTCTTTTTACATAGCTGGGGGTGCAAGATACGCTGAGGAGCAAAGGAGGTTTGGTTATTTACCAGCTAAACTAGCTTGGAAGGAAGAATGTTTTTAAGCTACATCATTTCATTCTTGACCTTATTTTAAAAGAAGTTCCCTGCTTATCCATTGTTTGATATACTAGATTAGTTTCCTGGAGTGCTGGAATCAGGAATTTTGGTAAGAAGGAAAAGAAGGGAGGTGACATTGACTTGAAAATAAGTTTTAATTGACTACTAAGACTGACTTTTGAGGTAGGTAGAAAAGCATAAATAGGCTAAGCCTGAAAAGAAGTGATTCCAGCGATTCTTTAGATAGGGACTGAACTGTAGCAGCTGCTTTAATGGAACTGTAAGTATTATACAAATGCAAAATCTATAAATTGTTCCATCTGTAATTATTGTACAAATCCTCTTTATAAGTAGGTGTCTTTTGCACTTAAAGTAGGAGCAAGCTTCTTGTTCCTAGCCTAATCCTCCACTGATTACACAGCAACTCACAGCTGAAGCTATCTGAATTTATCTGTAAGTTAGGGAGGTGTTGTTGGTTCTGGTTGGCTGTGATTCCAAGGTGCAAGCTCCATGCTACAGGAAATCTGGTGTCTGGCAGTTCAGAACTTTCAGATCGTCACTTCTTTGCTTCTCCTGTAATCAGTGGGAGAGGAACAAGCAGATTTCCTAGCTGACTTAGAGGGGGAAATGAATTACTAACCCTTGTGGTGCCAAACTGCTGGTGTTATATAAATTTGGCCTAAGGATTATTCTGTCACACTGTATTTAGTATACTCTCTAAATACTTAATGCAGTCCTGAAGAGTGTGAATGTCTTGGGGTTCTTTCTTCCCTCAAGGAGACCAAGTGTGTGCATATGTAGCAATTATTATGTATACAATTATGTTGTGGATTAGTAATGAGGTTGAGGATGTCTTTCAGCAAAGAGTTGGAAGGTGGTAAAAGTAGCATTAGTCCTCGGTAGATGCAAGGACTAATGTCATGCTCGAATTGGCATAGGAGAGATGTGTTTACTGCAATTATGGGCTCTGTGCAGCAGTAGTTTTCTCTCTGCTGGAAATGTGTGATTAATTACGTGCTTTATGTATGAAACTCCAGGTGTTGGTGTGTATCTCTGGCCTGTGGCTCACAACACCTGCATGGGGTGAAGGCTTGAGAATAACTAAAGGTTGGGTGGACTGGGGAGACTGGGAATTTAGGACATGATCCTTGTGTTTGAGAAGCAGGGCAAGGATACACTTGAAGTTGGATATAACACTGGTGGTTGGGATTGGAGATGTGACTTAAATCTGCTTTGACTGAGGAGAAAGTATGACTTTGAGCTAGGCTCAAATGGGAAGTGCAGCTGTGTAACTTCTACCCCTGCTCTGGTGGGTTGCAGACCTTTTGGCAAGACTTTCCACTGAGGTACTAATCAAAGGCAGGATAGTTGTGCCCAGGTGGTTGCTGGTCTGAGCTCAGTCAGTTTTACTGGAGTCATTTGAGCTGCCTTGACTGACAACTGGACATCTTCACCACATACCTGGAATTCCCCTTAATTTATTTTTTTGTTGTTGTTTTGGTGGTTAAACAAAGCTAAATTTTTAAGGCTGTGACAAGCTTTCTGACAGTGTGATGGGAACAAATCTGTCTAGTTGTGCTTGTAGGGCAAGTAAATTTTGTATAGGATTGACTGTAGAAATGCTGTTTTCATGTTCATAAGATGCAAGCTGAGTATGTGAAGTTATTCAACATGAAATCAGTTGAATAGTTTAGCTCTAACTTTTCTAACTTTTCTCCTTTAGGTATTGTAACAGAATTCAGGAAAAGAGGGGGGCTGTATATGAAAAAGTGACTGCAATTCAGAAGGAGATCCAACAGACAAAATTCAAAATCCAGCAGTTGAATGAGAATGCTGAAAAAGAAGAAATGAAAGTCAAGGTAAGTAGTGTGTGTGGCCTTGCAGAACCAGTAAGATCAGTGGGTGGTAGTTTGTGGATGGTTGGAGGGAGGGTGTTGTTTTCTGCTTGTGGTTCCAGGAAGGCAATGGGGTTTGTGCCTACCAGCCCATAAAAGTGGACTTTGCAAACCTAAGAGGTGTGGTGTTTTTTTTTTTTCTTCTTTTTTTTTTTCTTCCTAGGACACGTGCCTTAATTTGAAGGCCCTTTTGGAGAAGTGTCATGACTCTCTCTTAGAGACAGTAAAGAGTTACGCAGCTGCAAGAGAAGATGAAATTGCTGAACTGAAGGAGGAGCTACTTAAAATTCAAATTCCTGGGAGTAATTTTTAAGCATGCCTTCATTCTATTGCTTTTGGATTATGCTCTTGCTTGTATCCAAACTTGAAAGTTTATGCTTTGGGTAGGATGGATTGCTCAAGGCAAAAAGCAACTTTCTCAAAAACTGTCTGAAGACATTTAGCTTTACAGGCAGATCTGGTGTTGCCATCTAGCTAATGATGGCAAGAGAAGTCTTGGTTCAACCAGTTTGTATTGTTTTGGTTATTATCTGGTTTTAGGCATAAAAATGCAAGCCTTGCTTAGACCAGGTTCTTTCCGTTTAGAAGGAATCTTGCTTTTGCAGAAATTGTTTTGCAAATGTTGATCTTGCTGACTTGTGGCTTTGGTCTGGTCTGACAAGATACACTGTTCAAAGTAAGTCAGTAATATATCTTGCTTCTATTTTTTCAATTATGATTAAATTCTGTTGAAGCAGTAGTATCTTCCTTGTAAACACTAGCTTGCTCTTCATAATGTTTGTGACTCTGGAAACTCCCGAGAATGTCATTTTGGTTAACGTTGCAGTGTCTCTAGGAGCTTGAACTCATTGTTTCTACCCCATGTTGTATTGAACACTGTTTTGTCTAAGTTGAGGGCAAGTCCCTGTTTGGGACACTAGTTTGCAATGGTCCTAAATACTTTCTAGAATGCTTTGGAAATGTTTTTGATCATTAGAATTAATACAAAATATTTTAAAAAAATACCTTATATAAGGATATGTAACCCTATTTCCCTTATGTTTTTCTTCCCTCCTCTCTCAACTGTCTATTTTTCACTTGGCATAATATTCTAACTGAAAAATAAAACTTTTTTTTTTACCTTTTATTAATAACCATTGTTACAAATGTATTTTTATAATGAGGGAAGATTTGCTTTTCAAGACCAAAGATAACTTCTTTCCAGTTTTGATTAAATATTCAGTTTCTCTAGTAAATAAGAGTTAGGAACAGTGGGTGACCATGGCCTTAAAAGCTCTTTTTACTGAGGCATCATACTGCCTTAGGTCTTGACTGTGGGGATGTGTGTGTGGGGGTATTTTTCTTTCGCCTGCTTTACAGCATGTGATATGTACTCTAATGAAAACCTGTGTTACATAGGAAATCATTAACTAGTACCTTTTCTTGTACAGCTTTCCCATTTCCATCAACTACAGTCTGTATGTAGTAGATCACTATTCTATGTAACACAACATAATGTATGATGTTATGTGTTTCTCTTTGTGATTTTTTTTTTTCTCCCCCCTCAAATGTAGCAACGTAGTAATTTGCTCAAAGCCCATTTTGTGAGTCAAGGCTTAGAAATGGCTTCTGCCACACACTTTCAGAGCAGGACTTTGTTTCATTAACCCAATATGCTTGAATGTCTTGAGTTAGTTTCTGAGTCTGTGATAATCAGGCTTTAGAAGAGCTCCATGCACTAGTAACATGTAAAATAGATGGTGGCTCAGGTGCTGCTCTACAGCTTGGCATAACATTATTTAAGTTGGTAGTTCCACAGGATTATATATTGCAAAGTGCTTCTTTTCTGTAGCTTGTAACCATTTGTGGTGCAGTGATTGCACTACAGGACTTTCTGTTCTTACTTGATTCAAATGTTCAATTACTAAGTATATTCTGCAAGCAATGAAGAAACTAATCCTGCAGGAATTGGTACTGTACCATACTCTTTCCAAGTTGCATGTTTTGGAATCTAGCATGCACACACATCTGCCCACATATGCTATCTCACCTTTTCCAGTGCATTTGGCATTAACTCATTTCAGTTGTTTATCTTGCTGGAAATGTTTTCTTACAGTTTCAATACAGTCTTTAGCTCTTCAGTAAAATTCCTAGCTCTTCTGTTTAATCAGTACTATATTTGTTTGTTGCTACTCTTTTCCCTTCCTCTTCTTTTTAAGTGTAAGAAGAGAGCTTGTTTTTGGTCAGAAGCAACTTTGAAGGAGAACCTCTTTAGGCTCTTATGCCAACACCTGTCAAATCTTTTATTCCCCTTTTGTTTTTTTTTTTAATAGTGGATTCGTTCATTATACACAATGGATTCTGGTAGTCATTGGAAAACTAGGGCAGAATCTAGTTCTAATCTGAGCATAATAATCTAGGTCAGAATTTCAGGTTTAACATTCAGTCCCTTTTTATATTAATATCCTCTAAAAGTGGCTCTAAACCTCAACCTGCATGCTGAGTTCCTCTTTGGACCAGAGTGCTTAGTGCAAACGTAGGCTCCCAGAGGTCAATGTGATGATGGTTAATGAATTTAACAGGTTCTCACTGTGGCCCATCTGTACTTTCCTGTTGCTCATGCTTCTTCTTTGATCATAAGGAAGATCCAGTGCCACCCTAGACTGGCACAGAGCCATGCCCAGGCCCTGCCTCATGCCTTCATACAGCACGACCTGAGCTGGCTCTCCCCAGAGCTTTTCTCCAGGAAACTTGTGTAAATCGGGGAGTAGGTTAGAGTCTCTGAGAAGGCCACTGAGACTGAAGCTTATCACTCAGACAAGATGTTGCTTTCCAGGAGCAGGAAATCTTAAGATCTGTCTGAGCTGCTGCATGGGTGGGAGAGGGTTGTGTATCAACACTGAGCTGAAAAGGCCTCTTGCAAGCTCAGGTATTTATGCACATTCTAGATATTCATGGACAACACCCTTGGATTTCTTGCTGTTTGTAAGTACCCTTTCCTTTTACAGACTTTACACACCCCCTCTGCTATTAAAAAGGAAGGTGTGTATATTCTGCCTGCTAAGTTATGCCCTCAGTCTTGGAGGGAGTACATGGCTTTTTTAAGAATTGAAAATACCTGTGATACCTTTTGAAGTAGAAAATGTATTAACGGGGTTAGATGGGAAATGGGTGGGCACCTTAGCCTTATGGTGCTGGAGCTAGTGTGCAAGAACAAGCCTTTTTAAAGAGGCTGTTTGTGATGCCTCCTGCTTCTTGAGCCTTGCTGCTTCTCTCCTTGTAAAGGAAGGAAACTTCTCTTTCCTGCCCTATGAACAGGGCAGAGTTGGGGCAGAAAGTTCTGTTTTTTTCAACAGCTACTTCATGCTTTGATTGTAGAATGCTATGGAAGAAGAAAGATAGAGTTGCGTTTGGCCGCTTGATGGAGCTCTTGTCACAGGTAGTGGGGGGTTTTTTTTTTTTTTTTTTTTTTTTTTCTTCTTTCCCTGCTCTCCTAGCAGTGCTTGGCCAAGGAAGCCACAGGAAATTTGCCGAATCTGCAGCATCAGGATAACAATTTCACAGCTTCACACTTGTATATTCTAGAGCTAGTCAGGACCTGATAAATTCAAAAGTTAAAGCTTTATTTAATTGTTTTTATAGACATTGAGAAGGCTTACAATCAGTGTAATGTGAAGGTTACCTAAGTAGCCACGTCTTTCAACAGCATGTCAAAAGTCACAAAATCCTTTTCGGTTTTGTCTTGTGGAAGATATAGAGCATGGTCTGCACATCCAGAGGAACGTTTTCCTTTTGGGAAAAACTCCCTTTACCTTTCTGTCATAGAATCCTTAAGGTTGGAAGGGACCATTAGAGATCATTTAGTCCAATGCCCCTGGCGCAGGGCCACCTGGAGCACGTGACACAGGATTGCGTCCAAGTGGGTTTTGAAGATCTCCAGAGGAGACTCCACAACCTCTCTTGGCAACCCGTTCCAGTGCTCTGTCACCCTCACTGTTTAAGAATTTGTTTTCCTTAAGTTCCTGTGGAACTTTTGATGCTTCAGTTTCCGGCGGTTTCCTCTAGTTCTGTTGGTGGCCAGCGCTGAAAAGAAGCCAGCACCATCCTCCTCACTGCCTCCCTTGAGGTACTCCCCTTCCCTTGTTCAGGCTGAACAGGCCCAGCTCTCTTGGCCTTTCCTCACAGAGCAGATGTTCCAGATCCCTCATTATCCTTGTAGTCCTGCACTGGATTCTTTCCAGTAGCTCCACCTCCCTCTTGTACTGTGGAGCCCAAAATTCAGACTCCTCAAAGAAAATCTTCCATATTTCTCAAGCTTTCATGTCTCAAGGTTACAGACTTGACATTGTAATGATGGCCAGAGAGGAGGTGAGAAGACCTGTGTAGATTATAGGGGCTGAGAAGATGCTGAGGTAGTTTGGTGCACTGCCAGCCACTGTAGTGTAGAAGGTGGTTCTGAACTGCAGCTGATAGTTTACCTTGGCCTCACAACCAAGGCAACTAAATCATTGTCCTGTCAATGTTGATGGCTACTACTAGATTTTTAGTACTTAGTTTTGCAGTTGTATAATATCCAGGATACTTCTATCTGCAAAATATAATGCTGACATTTCTATGAACTTGTTTGCAGAACACTGATTGTGGTAGGCTGATTATGGTGCAATTATGCTCGATGTTAAGAGACCCAAGAAAATAAGTGGTAAGTAAGTATTAACACTGCTGTGATGTACTCCCACTCTCCTCAGCACAAAAGGTTTGGGCTCCCTCTTGCTTTTCTTCTGCAGTTTGTTGCTTGATAATAGCAGGATGCCTTTAAAAGGGCAGAACCTGATAACAACTCGTAAAAACTGCACCTATCCTTTGTAGGTAATGTAGTGTGTAAGTTTTCATTAAGTGTTGCTGCCTGATTTGATAGGGATGGTTCAGGATTTGTTCCTTTTTCACTGTTTTTTTTTTTTTTTTTTGTCTTACATTGCTTTTATTTCTGTCATGCCAATGGACCAGAACCTGTTTTGGTTCTTGCTGTGTTGTGTATCGTGCAGCAAAGAAGCTCTGGCAGACTTTGTCCTAAAGTGTTAATAGTCTAAAAAAGAGATTAAGTGACAGGTAAACTGGAATGACCCTGCTGGGGGTATTGCCAATGTTATTGCATATACGCAGTTCTTCGCCAGACTGTAGTAGTAATGCTTGTTTCTTATCGGACATCCTCAAGTTGTGCATGTAAAGACACTGATGAGCCCTGAGGTATAACAGAGAAAAATCTATTATATTTCTTGCCTTATTGTGGTTGCTCCAATTGCGGTCTGCTACAATTACAAAGCCCAGTTCTGAGTTTTTTGGGTTGCTTTTTGTGTTTGGTCTCATTTTCTATGTAGAAAACTTGTGGGTAAAGCCACTGAAGTTTGGGAGTAACCACCTGTATGCCTAGGGTGGGATAGATCCTCAGAGGTATTAAATTACTGTTGCTAGAGGTGTATGTTACTGACTCTGGGAGAATAGAAGTTGTAGGGGTCACTTCTCCCTCAGTGAAGACCAAGCGGGTTGTTTTCTTTACCAGTAATTTTTTTTTTCCCAAAGCAGAATGAAAACAGGGTTTTGAGAGCTGAATTTCCTGATGGTTGGCAGATCATATTCTATCAATTGCAGAAGAGTTCTTCTGGATGTTCTGACAGTGAGGTTGCAAAGGGGTATGTTCTAAAAAATAGACTGACAAGGAGAAGTGGACGTTAAAAAAATTTCTTTGTGCAAACTGCAGGTCCCACTGGAAGAGGCCAGTGTTTGTATTAAATGAAGTCCCTGCAAACAAAAGGAGGGAAAACCCAGTTTATGTTGAGGTTTCCATAGCAACAGAATACTTTTCTTGGAAATTTCAAACTATGAGATTTAATCTAGCTGCTATTTAACTCTTGCATGCAAAGCCCTTCCCTTTCTCAGTTTGCCCGCAGTCCTTAGTGACATCCGCCATAGTGATGGGTCTACTATGAAGGTGTGATGGTGCTTTTTGTTGGGAATGATGGAGGAAAAAGCTTATGAGGCAGAAGCTCTGTGTGTGTGTGTGTGTGTGCATGTGTGTGATGGGCTGCGTGTAGGAGTGATTTATCATACACTGCTGATCCGGGGCAGCTTTTGTTTCCTGCAGTTCCTGGTGAGGAAGGGCTGAGTTGGTAGTGAAGGTCGAGTTGCCAGGCAGACATGTGCTGTAGCCTGGAGGTTTTACTGCATAATTTGATGATGTTTTTAGAAGTGATACAGTTTAGTTTGTATCATGGTGTGGGATCTGTAGAAAACTTTGTGTGGATATTTGGGAAGCTCATAAATGCTTAAGTTTGCACCAATCAGTCCTTTGTCTGAAGAACCTCAGATGAGAATCAGTGTTGTTGGGGGAAGCTCTTGTGGAGGGAGATTGAGAGGGTTGCATTTTTCTACCTGAAAAAAAGACAGCTGAGAGAAAGGGGAGCATGACAGAGGTCTGTGAAATCACTAATGGACTCTAAAGATAGAAGGAGGTTGCTTTTTTTGTGGAGAGAAACCCTGAGTGGATGTGGAAAAAAAGTGGTGGTGGTTTTTTTTTTTTTTGGTACAGCAGAGGAAAAGAATTGTGTTCCCTTCCTTCTGGCTGTAGTGTCTGATGAACCTCTGCTTCATCTCTCTTCTAGCCTCTCATGTAACCCTCTGGCAGGCACAGAAGAGTGAGCTTAGCAAGACAGGCTGCTGGTGTAGGAGAGCTGCTGCAGTGGGAGGCAGGATGGTGGTGGTACCTGGCTGGCATGATGGTGTGCTGGAGATGTCCAGGAGTAGGGACCGGAGTCTTGATGGGATGGAGATGTCCTGCAACCCCTGGTCACTGCTTTGGTCTTCTCCACAATCCATAAGAATTGGACATGGTGCAGGCAGGATGTTAGTGCAAGCCTTTACTGTTCTGCTTGCAAACTTGGTTTTAAACCAATTGTAAAATTTGAGAGTTCCTATCAGATAAAACCAACAGATTTTTGCTGCTATTTTCCTCTTCTGTAGGAGGATCTATTAGTCCCTTCTGAAGATTTCAAAGGATTTTTACCTCTTTCTCTCTAAACTTCTAATTTTCTTTTCCACTTTTTCTCAAACCAACCTAGAGAGTTGGCAATGCTTTCAGTGTTATCCTATGGTGTATTATGGCTTTTAATTTTTACTGCAAGCCTTAAGTTTTAGGGCACTGGGAAACGAGATGTGACTTGTGATGTGTGGTGTACATGCAGTTTAGGCTGTTAGAGACTTGTTGCTTGGATGACCTTAAATGCAGAAGAGGGAATTCAGTCACCTGAGTGATCTCCAGTTCGGTGGTTTTGTGGCTTTGTGAGAGAAAAGCAGTGCTTGCAACATACGATATACAGCATGCCAGAGGCATGGCTATGGGACCCCTGTTTCGATGCATTATGTATTAGCCTTGTTGGGGGCTGACTAAGATCGACCAACCTCCCCATTTTCAGCAAAAACAACATTCTGTTTTAGTAAGTGGAGGTTAGTGGGTTTTTGTTGTTGTTCTGACTCATTCTGTGGTTAGTCTGATGAGGCTTATTGAGTCTTAAAGATCTCTGGGCAGCAAACCTTCATCACTGGAAGATTTAGAAGAAAACCAGTTCAAAGGTTTCGAAGAACAACAATCCAGGTACATGCAGGTAAATAGTAAGCAGGACATTAAACTAGTACACCTTAACAAACCATTTTTAAACAAACTGCTTTTAAACATTTGTTATGTCTTCTATTTCTCTTGGCAGCTACCTGTTCAACTTCTGACCTGTTTGTAAAAATCTGCACACTATCTATCAAGGGGATACACGCACTTGCAAACTTCTGTTCTGTGGGCATTAAGTAAATTATTTCTTTAAGATCATATGGCAGATCTATAATTAATTAAACCCTCCATGATATTAGTGCGAAATAATTTAGCCTTTCTAAAAAGGTAAATGTAATTTGCCGATCTGGTATTTGGAAGAATGCTTTCCCCAAAATCAATTCCTTTAGTTTCCAGAGAATAGAAATGAGAAGCAATCTCATTTTAATTATATCTCTTTATTGCTAACAAAGGAATGATTTATGCAATTAAATTAACTGGCTAGAAAATTATTCTCAGCTGGGCTGTCCTAATTCTTTGCTTTCTGAATTGCAGGCTCTTACACTTTTCTATGTAGATTAATTTTTCTGATATGCAAACAATGCTCCTTGTGTTCATTTTTAACATTTTTTATTCACAGCTCCCCTTTTCTTAGTGTCAACGACATGAGTAATATTTGTGCACTGCTGGGCTCTGATTCATTTTTTTATGTAGAAAGATGGAAAAAAAATCTTTCTTTTGAATCTCATTATTGCCAGTGCAGAGCAAGGTTTTGAAGTTTTCTTATCTATTGCTGAGAAACAGCAGCAGGAACATGGAGAAACTGCAAAGATGTCAAAGGATGAAAACTTTTGAAGGAAAATGTATCAGCATTGTGCAGACAGGTGAATTTGCAGCTAGTGTTAAGAACTCATTTTTTATGTATTCCTCTTAAAACTCTGTCACCCTGCAGCTGGTTATTTAAAAAAAAAAAAAAAAAAAAGGGGGCAAGCTGAAAAGCAAAGGAAAAAAACAGTCTTTTGTATACAAACTTAATAGCCAAGACTTTTGGATTTTTTTCAGCCTGGAATTAGCTTGCAGTGGCTGGCCAGAAATTTGGCTAGTGATATTTGGGCTTGGGGAAAATTACCATGTAACAACACATTGTGACCGTGTGCCAACACAGTCTGACATCTTCTGAATGGGCCATTGGTGTAATATGCTGTTTTAAAACAGCAGTGAACATATTGCAGAGCACGTGTTAGCTCTGTCTGAGCTGTCCTGCCCTGTATCCGTGAAGATGTGTCAGCTGGTCAGTGGTTGCTGCAATTGGCACTCACACTGCTATCAGATGGTTTTGAAATATAAAAGCAGTGTTTTGTCTGCTTTGATGTGTGATGCTTTGTATGTGGCACGGTCTCCATGACTGGGATGCAGAATAGATTCCCAGTTTAAAAGCTTTCGAACAGTCCCACAGGAAGGATAGAGCTAGGGTGATTCGAAGGGGGCAAGAGAACTTGGAGCACTTCCTTTGAGGTGCATCATCCACATGGGACTTTTCTCCCTGTGCTGGATAACTGCACAGTGGATGGATGTTGGGGTAGCTGGTGCAGTCATCTTGGCTGAAAATGTTGATGTTATCCTTGAGGATGTTCTCTGAGCGCAGCATGGATGGCATTTACTTGGAAAGTGCAGTCACAGGGACTGGAAAAAAAGCTCTCAAAGAACAGTTATTCTTGACTGGTCCTGGAAGCTCTCCGCAATCTGTGCAGTTTTATTCTAATAATAACTTGGCTAATACAAGAAAGGCTATCCTAGGGGAATGCTATTTTGCAAGTAATCTGTTGAGCAGGCTTTGAGTTCAAAATCTAGGCAAATGGAAGGAATGGGTAGAAATCAGTAGGATAAAATTGAGGACAAACCTTACTTTTAGGAAGGAATATTTGATTTAAAAAACGAGCAACAGCAGCCCAGGCAATAAGTACTGCAGGAAAGGATCTGGGTTCATAGTGAATCACAGCTGAGTCAGTGTGATGCTCTGTTGAAAAGAAATAATTTTCTTGGAATTATTAATAGCAGTGTCATGTGCAAGTTATCGAGTGGGGGACTCAGCTAAATTATATGATGGTGAAGTTTGTGCTGGCAGAATATATGCAGTTTTGCATGCCACATTTCAAAAGCCAAAAACTGAAAAGATCACAGAAACTGTAACCTAGGGGATAGGTAATGGCAAGTCCTACAGAGAGAGTAAAATGAGCTTCACTTGCAGTAACAGAGAATTAAACTGGTGACAGGAAAACCTTAACCTTCATTTGTTATGGGTTTGATGCCCACCTACCAGGTAAAACCTTGGATCTAGTGGATGTATCCTGGTACATCTTTGTGGAGCCACAAAGGGAGGGAAGACAGCCAGAGCAGAGCCTTCAAATTTGCGAGGTGATAGGTAATATAGGATTTCAAATTGCCCTCTGTACAAGCACAGCCATGTGAGTAGTAACCCTGTGCTCCTGAGAATTGAACTGAAAGTATATATGATCCTGTCCCTCTCTGTACCATGCTGCTTGTCCCTATGGATCCTATTGTGTTCTGGTACTGCACATGAACGAGGGACTTGCTGGCAGTACCTTAAGGGAATGTACCTGAGGGCTGTGGTCTTTACTGGGGCATTCTCATGGGTAGCAAACCCTAAAGGATTGCCCTATGCAGGAGCTCCCAAGGCAATTTGGAAGTTTTCAGAGATCAGCTTCAAAAATAACACTGCTGCAATCTGATTTCTGAACTCCCCTTTCTGTTCCTTGACAAGGGAAATGAGTTCCCTCTAGATTCTCAAATGGAATTAATCACCTCTCTATGGACCATTTCCCAAATGCATCAGAATTTAATTTCGCACAGAGTGATACCCAGGTGAGAAGTTACTAGTGCTGCTAATACACTAAATCTGTCCAGTCGAGTAGATCTCCATTATATGTGGCTATCCTCCCAATGAGAAGTTCCTAATCTCTCTGCCTTGTTGATTCATCTTAGTAAGATGGCTGAATAAGAATCCTTTTCCTCTCTTGAAACTGATTTGCTGATTTGTAAAGTTACTATAGATTTCTTTTTCTGTGTATGCTTTTCCTCCAGGCATAATGTTGCTGAACTGAATAAACCAGGGGTCACCTGGCATAAGAAAGGCATGAGCCAGGCAGGTGTACAGGTAGGACTCTGATGTCTCTGCAATTGCTTGGGGGAAAAAAAAAAAAAAAAACATAGTTCTAGCCTTCTGTTGTGTGTGTCTTTTTTTTTTTCCTGTTCTGTTTCACTCATCATTTCTAAAGGAAAAAATTGGATATCTTTCATTTAGACTTCCTAACATCACCAGAGCATTTCAATAAAATAATTTTCATTTCCCTTAAAATAATGATGATATTTTTGTTTATGACAGATTCTAGATGTCTGAATGCTGAAGATGAAATCAGAAATTAAAATAATCTGGCTCATTGCATGAAACCATAATGCAAGTACCAGAAGGCTTTACGTTGGCCTTGAATCTTTTCTTGTGACTTTTCATTTCTTCTTTTCTATCTTGCTGTAAGTTAGTGACAGCTAGGAGCTATCTCTGTCTTAGAAGTGATGGAAGAAATGAAGCAATGTCAAATGCAACATAGGTAATAGAGTAGCTGTATATAATTAGACTATATAAATTTTGCATATATATGACTTCTGTGTGAATTGTTATGTTTCAAAGATAAACTGTATAGCAAGAAACTTTTATACTGTGACCTCTTACAATCTATCTTAAGTTATTCTTGTTGAAACATTACTAGGAAATCTCTTAAGTTCCTTCTCTACCTGAATTATTTTATAATTCCATGAAGATCTGTGCGATTATGATGTGTTTCAAATTAACAGTGATTGTATATAGCCTATCGAAAGCTTTGTGCTGAAAGACAACTGAGCAACTCAAGGAAGGTATTTGTTGAATTGTATAAGATTTCTTCCAGCTTGTTTCTCCAGCCCCTTGGTCTCCCTCTGAAAAGCAGCCTTATCCTCTAGCATCCAGAGTACTTTCCCCCAGGTTGATGTTCTCCGTGCTCCTTCTGAGGCTGCACGCTGTCCCATCGTACAGCAGCCTTTCTAACCAAGGTGTTGAGCAATACTCGTCCCTTTGGGACACTGCTGGTCTTTTCATCCTAGAAAGCAACCTAGTTGTCAGGCATGACATGAGTATGGAGTAGGTAACTCCATGCTCTGTTCCTTGTTGCCACCTCATCCTTCCTGTGCTATCAGGTCAGCGTCTCAGCTAAAATAATATTGCACAGGAATCCTCCGCTCAGCTCTGCCAATTGCTTGTGCACTGGGTCACCTTATTCTAGCTATTTGTCCAGTGCTGCTGTTTACTCTCTCTCCTGATAGTCTCTAGCCCTAATCCTGAATTTTCTTATCTTTACAGAAGTCCAGTGTCCAGATTGGCCTTTGCAAAAAAAGGCCAGTTTATTGATTCTAAGTGACTTTTGTACTAAATTTAAATATGCAAATAATAATAATGGAGCAGCATGGGATTTTTTTTATTATTTCTGTCCTCTGCAGACACCACTTTAATGCAAATCAAACTTTACTGGATTGTGTTACCTATTGAAAAATAGTTTCAATTAGAAATTCAATTACACTGTCTTGGGGGGATGGAACTGACAGTTTCTTTGAATTTTGCACATTATAGAAGGCTCCAAAGTGCCATAAATCTGCTAATTGATTTCTGTACCTGTAATGTTTGATTAGGTGTATTTTATTGTCTTCTTGGTTTTAATTAACCCCAGGCTTGTCAAAATCTTCCACTGACAAAGAATATATGATGAACTGAGATAAACTCTATTAACAGAGGCTGACTTGTGTCAGTAATTGCTATCATGCATAAGAGTTATTAGAAATTAGCGCAGAAAAAGAAACTGTACTTTTGGTAACAACTTTTATGGGCTGCTATAAATCTGTTGATTGCCCTCTACACATGGGAGATAAGCAAAAGTGAATGACAAGGGGTCTGAAGGAAAAATCAATCATTTGCTAGATGTCTTATAAATATTAAGAGTGACAAAATGGGAAGAATTATGAAGTCTAAGTGCTGAAAATTAAATGGATGCTGATGTACCTAAACTTGTTCCCATCAGAGATTGTGAAGACTGGAAGCTGGGCACATGGGTACCCTGGGAAGCTCTCTGTTAGTGAAGCAGAATATGCCAAGTCAACTGCAGAGCTCTGAAAGACTAACATGATATTGAACTTTTTTCCTAGGCCCTTGGCGGAGGTCCAATATGGGCTGTTACTGCCTGAAGGTTACCACCGCCTTAGAGATGCAGATGTCCAGTAGAGTCACAACACTAGAGTTTGAGATCAGAGGCAAGTAGAGAGATTGGTGCTAAGCTTTCATCCTAGTAGTAGTTGTGGAGGCTGTAATTGCAATATTTTTGAGCTTAAGTATCTGCTTGAATGGCAGTTTTTTTGCCTAATTTTATTTTGATTCCCCTCTATCTTAAAGATTTTTTTAAAGCTGTTTTACTTACTTTCTTTTAAGAATTTTTGCAATGAATCAAGTGATGGTAACAATCCTGCTTGTGCAAGGGTGTGTGGAGGAAGGATGAAGAGAGTGGATTCTACTAGAGGTTGTGTGCAACCCTATAAGCAGGTTGATCCCTTATTGTTAAGGGTACTTAGTTTATTGCTGCTGTCTTGGGGAGCTTAAAATGTCTTTGTCTCCTTTTAAGCAAAAAGAAAGATACCTTCAAACACTGGGGGCTTTTGGAGCAGTCTCTCTTTCTTCTTGGGCTCTGGGCACTGCAGCATGTGAGTTGCAGGAAAGTCTGCAGTAGATTTACTGCAGCATTGTATGGCTGTGTGGGTATGTGAGGGTGGAGAGAGGCCTGGATGACACAAGAGAGGTGCTGCCCTGGCCTTTCCCTTGCTTCCCATCACTGTAAAACCTCTTAGTTTACTCCTTTTGGAAGAAGCAGGAAATCCCAGTGTGCTTGAATCCCTGATTCTGTTGGATCCTTTCCAAGCAGGATGTGGAGGGGATGTGTTCCACAGCACGCCAGGCTCCCAGGCCCATGTGCCCTGAGGTGAGTTGCCAGAGTGAGAGCTACATCCCTGTCTCTATAGCCTAGCTGGGGTTTTAGTGCTGAAACAGGGCACAGATGGGGGGTCCTGTGGAGTAATTCCCCCTCGCCTGTCATGAGATGGAGGAAAACTCTAGCAGCACAAAGAGATCCATGATATGGCTGATGTTTCCACATGTTTCTGCAGCATCATTAAAGGCGTCCCAGACAGCCCATAGTTTGTGCTATGGGTCTCAGTAAAGACCAACAAATGGAGGGGGGGAAAAAAATGCCAAGGATGCTCTATTTTGAGGAGCTGAGGCTGGTCTCTCAGCACTGGTATTCTGCAGCATGGGCCATTTTGCTGCATGTGGTACTGGAGCACCACGTCGTTGTACTGCAGCTCTTGTGCTGCAGTTAACTACCTTGGTCTGTAGGGGACAGTTGGTATCTATGATAGATGCAAACTGCATATGATCACATGCAAGATAGCTACTGTGGGGCTATGTGTGTAGGGTGGTGGTTGTTGTTTTTGAGTGTGTGTGCAGGTTTTTTCTGTTTGTTTTTGTGCACATTTGCTCCCAGGATCTCTCTGTTACTGGGGTGCTTGCTTAATGATTACTTCTCTGGACTCTGTAAATGAACACTTTACCTGTCTGTCTTAGGTTTTGATGAAGGTGATGCGCTCTTGTTTTGTTTGTTGTCTTAGGTACATACTTCTGTTTAGGAGTTTTTGTGCAAGTGTCTGTGTATGTGAGTGCTCATATATTCATATTCCCTCTTGGGGTAGATTGAAAACAATCCATTTAGAGACCAGGTGTCCTTGTCTCTCTTGGCATTTGGTTAAATATCAGCAAAGGAGGAGAAGGTAAATTCTAGGTTTCTCTAACAACTTCTTGGGCTGTGAAGCTCTTAATCCCATCAGATGGGATTTGAAGGTCATGTTGGTTACCCACATGTGAAAGATGTGTCTTTATTCCCCATACATAAAATCTACCAAATGATCCTAAGATGTCCTAAAATTTAGATCCTAAGTGGCATGCTTTTCAGTCTGCTGAGACCAGAGGTCGCTGTTTATCTGGAAATGGAGTTCATGCACTCCTCGAGAGCCACCTTCTCTCTTTCATGCCCCTCTCTTAACCTGCTCTGTGTTACCTCAGGCTCCTTTTCCCCTTAAAAAAAATGTGGTGAGGGTCTTCTCTTAAAGGTAAAATACTAGACTTACGTGAACAAGGGATCGAGTAGACACAGCTATAGGGAAATGCAGGGCAGTGCAGTTGAACTCTGTCTCTCTGCACCTACCAACATATCTTGCCAATACGCCACAGTCTTAACCTGCAGCTCTTTCATTTAGTTCAGTCTTGGTTCCTGGCATAGCCTCCTTCATAGCAGACACCTGCTTTCTTAGCCTTGGTGGCCATCCTTGAATGGAAAAACATATGTAGTGCTGAACAGCAGAGCAGCAGCCGTGGCCGTGTAGTCATGATGGTGTAAGGAAAAATGGGGCATGGTCTTATCAGGTGGTGTGATCTCTGTTCTTTCAGCAGGTCTGGGGGAAGACTGTACAGGAACAATTCCAATGCCTGTATTAAGGCGGGCTATAGTGTATTTTTTAACAGTGGAATGAGAGAGACTGTCATGGCCATTCCTCACTACACAGTGGAACTGACCTGACTGTGCGTGAGCAGGAGACTTGGTGCAGCTCAGAAACCTCTTTGCATGTGTGCTCTGCTGGTGAGCGTCTGCCCCCTTGGAGACCCGGGACATGAGCAAGAGGGGAGTGAGCAAGAGCGGGGTAACCTCTCTGAGTGTGAGGTTCTGTCCTATTGGGAAATTTGTTTCTTTCTCTACCTTGTTCATGTGATTGAAATAATCCCATCACATCCTAGCATGTGCTTGATCAGCTTAGTGCTGCTCCACTGACAGTTTCAAGCCTGTAGCTGACTTTGAAGGTAGCTTTGCCGCTGAGGAATGCCTTCAGAAAGGGCCATGTTCTGCTGGAGTGGCTGCACATGAGGCATACCTTGTGTGTGAACAAGTGGTGATTGTGTGGGACCCTGGCTCGAGCTTGGGCTGAGGAGCACAGCTGGAAGGAAACCCAGTTCAAAGGCCACCGAGCCCCTCTTGG